AGGTCCGGTGCTCTATACACTGTGCCACCTGGCTTAAGAACCGATGATGATTCTTTAGAGGTGCCTAAGATGTCAGTAATCTCAACATTCTCCCTAATGCAACTAATATGATTCTGTTTTTTTTTTTGTTTGGCTTTTGGCTAGGCAATGGGGTTAAGTGACTTGCCCAGGGTCACACAGGTAGTAAATGTCAAGTTTTTTTTAAGCCACTTCTCTCTCTCTCTCTCTTTTTTTTTTGGTGAGACAGTTGGGGTTAAGTTACTTACCCAGGGTCACACAGCTAGTGAGTGTTATGTGTCTGAAGCCAGATTTAAACTCAGGTCCTCCTGACTCCAGGGCTTGTGCTCTATATCCACTGCACCACCTAGCTTCCCCAACACTGGGAATTTTTCATCTAAAGAAAAAAGAAGAGTGAGGGGCAAGGTTGGGAAGGGCTGCCATGAGTAAAGGAAATTAGATTTGTTCTGAATGATCCCAGAGGAAAGAACTGTGACAGGAGGTCACAATAATGTAAATTTTGGCTCAGTATAAGGAAAAACTTAGCTGTGTTTAAAAATGAAATAGACTTCCCCAGATGGTAGTGAGGTCTCTGTCATTGGAGCGATTCAAGCAGAGACTGTTTGACTATCTGTTAGGATTCTTTCAATGGGTAGAAGTTGGACTAGATCTCCTTTGAAGCTAAGCAGAACACTTTAATCCCTCTTCGATGTGTCATTCCTTTGAATATTGGAATAAATCAGTTTTATCTCCCCTGAATCTTTTCTTCTGTGGGCTAAACATTCCCATTTACTTCAAATGAACTACTTCACTGTGACATGGTTTCAAGTCATCTCTTGATCCTAACTATTCTCCTATTGATATTTTCTAACTTGTCAATCTCATTCCTAAAATGTGATGACCAGAACTGAACACAATACTCCAAATAGGGTCTGACAAGAGTAGAAGAGAGGGGGTCTATTGGCTCCTTTGCTCTGGACACTATACTTCTATTAATGCAGCCTGAAATGAAATTCCATCTATTGGTGGCCATTTTACACCGTTGATTCATATTCGAATTACAGTCTATTAGAAGCCTCACATCTTTTTCACATGAAATGCTGTCTAACCAAATTTCACCCATGCTATACTTACACATTTGAGTTTTTTTAACCTAAGTGAAGAGCTTAACATTCATTTATATTCATTTTTCCTTTTACTTCAGTCCACTTTCAGAATTCCTTTTTTTTTTTTTTTAATTTTGAGTGTATTAGGTTAAATGTCACTCCCAGTTTCAGGTCATTTGAAATTGAAAGGTGCCACAATATGATGGATAGAGTGCTGGACCTAAGTTAGGAAGACCCAGGTTCAAGTCTTACATCTTACACTTACTAGCCATGTGATTCTGGGCAAGTCACTTACCTGCTCTGAGCCTCAGTTTCCTCATCTCTAAAATGAGGAAAATAATCTGTAAGACATCTCACAGGGATGTCATGAGAGTCAAAGGGAGTAATGTAAGCTTTAAGGAGCTATATAAATATAAATGATTATTTGATAGGCATGTCATTTATGCTTTCATTGAAGTCGTTGATAAAAAAAAAAAAAGTTAAATAGAGCAGGATCAAGGATAGAACCACGATTACTCTGCTACAGACCTCCCTTCAGGTTGAAGTCAATCTATTAGTCACTACTTTGGGTCCAGTCAGTCAACCAGTTCTGAGCCCACCTAAAAACTATTTTCCAGATAACATCTCTCCAAACTGTTCATTAGGATATCATGAGAAACTGTCAAATGCCTTGCTGAAATCCAGATATACTAAGGCTATGGCATTCCCCTGATCTACCTATCTAGGAACCCTGTCAAAAAAAGGACATGATGTTAGTCTGGCATTACTTGTTCTTAATGAACCCATGCTGGTTCTTAATGATCACCTTCTGAACCCTTTTTAAGTGCTCACAATTCACCCTTTTCATAGTCCATCTTAGAATTTTACCCAGAATCAATGTCAAGCTCACCAGCCTAGGAGCTGAAGTATTCATCTTCTTTTCCTTTTTGAAAATTAGACTATTTGCCCTTTTCCATTCCTGTGATACCTCTGCCATTCACTGTGATTTTTCAGAATCACTGACAGCCCCTCAGCAATCACATCAGCCACTTTCTTTCAGTATACTGAGATGAAATTTGTCTGGAACTCATGACTTGCACTCATCAAGGATAGCTCTATGATTCCCTTTCCATCTTCTCATTCTTCTTGGTTTTCGCGTCCCTGTATAAATATTTTTCTTCGGTCATTCCTGGTATAAAGATCAGTCTCCTTTGTAGCAAAAGTAGAGGCAAAATAGGGATTTTAAAGTTCTGCTTTCTCTCTATGATCTGTTATTCTCTCAATCCAATCAGAAAGGGTTCCTATCCCTTCCTTTATCTTTCTCTTGTCTTTTGTTGTTATTCAGTCATTTCAGTCATGGCCAACTCTGTGATCTCATTTGGGGTTTTCTCAGCAAACATGCTGTAGTGGTTTGTCATTTCACTCTCCAGCTCATTTTACAGAAGAGGTAACTTTGGCAAATAAGGTTAAGTGACTTGGCCAGAGTCACACAACTAGTAATTGTCTGAAGCTATGTTTGAACTCAGGTTTTCCTGACTCCAAGCCCAGCACTCTATCCACCACACCACCTTAGCTACCTCCTTATCTCTTGAGAGCTAAACAAACAATAGTCACAGCTGTATGACACGGATATATGCCTGCTCAGATGCTGCTCCAAGAAGCAAAACAAGCCTGGGGCAAATGGTGGTATCAGCAGAATTTATTTCCAATCTGCCTAGCCTCTACTTTCTGGTATTTTCTCACCTCCATCCTTTCTCTCTGTTTCCCTGTCAAGGGGAGCTTTCAGGACATATAAAAGAAGGAAATTTAGTTTCCTGGGCCATAACTTAAAATGTCAAAATGGTAAACTTCTGTCTGGGCACTGAGCACATGTTGCAAATATTGGGGAGAAAGTATTTGACCAGAGACTTGCTAATCCAGGCAAAAAAGACTTTAGAAGATAGAGGAGGAAAATGGCCAATTCAAACTGCAAAGCTAGCTACTATCTAGGACATGAGGTGTGACAAACAAAGACAAATAATGGAGGAGGTAGAGGGCAGTAATTCACCGTAAGGAATAACCAGAGAAGGGTCAGGGAAAATACTTACGGCCTCCAATGTCCATAAACCAATGTGCCAACTGTGGGTCATAAACAAAGGGAACTCAAGATTTTAACACAAGGCAGTAAATACAATCTCATTGGAACCCCTGAGGCTTGATGGGACTGTAATACAATAATAATAATAACTGACATTGGTATAGGGCTCCAAAGTTTGTGAATCCCTTTTTAAACATTATCTTATTTGAATCCCACAGTAAACCTAGGAGAGAATTAGCTCTATTTTACAGATGAGGAAACTAAGGAAGTTTTTCATGGTCACACACCAAAGGGAGGATTTAAATCGGGCCCACTCTTTCCACTCCATCATTCTCAATATGACAAGTCAAAGCACATATCTGGGCAACCTGCATTCCAAGGCCCACCTAGAACCCTAGATATATGGCTGCCCTTCCATGGAAGTGAGTCTAAGAACATGCAATTTAATTACTTTCTTCTGGTTACAGCAGTCTCTTGCTCAAAACCTTTCAATAACTCCTCATTGCCTATAGAATAAAGTATAAACTGATCCTGGATTCTCAGAACTGAAAGGTTCCTTGAACATAATCTTTAAAAAAAAAAAAAAAAAAAAAAAACCTCTGAATTTTACCGATAAGGAAACTGGGGCCTGAAGAGATTAAGGGTCTGACCCCAAAGTCACACAGGGAACTAGTAAATGGCAGTCAGAATTCAAATTCAGGCCCTCTGATTCAAAATCCAGGGTTTTTTTCTCAATACTCATTCAAGATCCTCCACACTCTGACTCCAACCTTCCTCTCAAACATTGCCTTCTGTTACTCATCACATACGCACTGCCCTGTTATAGCCTCAAGTCTTTGCTCCCAGCAGCCTTGCCCCGACGGCTGAGATGAACTCCCTCTGCTCTTTCCCATCGACCTTTGCGAAGTTCCTCCAGACCACCTCCAAGAACACCTCCAGTAGGAAGCTGTCCTTGCCACACTGCCTTTCCTCATTGAAAGTGATCTTCTCTCCTCAATCTTCTAGCACTTTGCATAAATCACTCCTCTGACTTACTCTTCCCAGCCTCCTACTTATCTATGTAACATGTTCCCACCACCCCCATTATATTGTAAATTCCTTGAGTGCAGAGGCTGTTTCTTACTTCATTTTTGTATCCTCAGGTTAAACACAGACTCCTACACATACAAATGATTAACAAATGTTTCTCTAATTAAATTGAGTGAATTCACAATTGAATAATCTTCCTGAGGAGCCCTGTCCTTTCAATGCCAGGTGGTTAGTCCTTCCTCTCTGTGTTTTGAGTATGTGTGTCCTGCTCCTGTCCAGGGCAGTGTACTACTGCTCAGGAAAGGTACGGCTTGCCTAATAAACCCCTGGAAAGGCAGTATTCCTCTGTGGGAATTCAAGTGTATTAACTGCTGAGAGAATGGGCCCAGAGGTTGTTAAGATCATAGTTTTTGAACTAGAAGGAACTTTAGATAGTTTCTCATTTTACAGATGAGAAAAAAAAAAGTCTAGGTTATGTGATTCACCCAAAGTCACACAAGTAGTATGTCATAGGTACAAGATTCAAACCCAGGCTTTCTGACTCCAAATTGAGCATGCTTTCCATACTGTTTCTCTCCTTAATGTCCTCTCTATAGAAAGAAATACACTCACTCCTCTTGAACTAGCTGAACTCTCTTCAGAAAGCCAGGCCACCAGGCTCAGACCTCCACTGCTTCCTTCCCTGGTATGGGGCTCTCAGAAAAGGGTCTCCACAGGCTCCCCCAAACAATATCCTATTGCCCTTTCTTCCAAACCTTGGCTGGTCCTGTCTCTCAAAGTTTCCTTCCATGTCTCTCCCCCACTCCATGCAGAAGGCAGACTTGGCTGTAGCCCCTCTGACCATCACTCACATCCGGGAAAAAGCCATTGACTTCTCCAAGCCCTTCATG